TCTCTGACATCGTTCTTAGTGTATACTATTTCGGCAATCTTTATTGATTTAAAATGCTATTTTTAGTATTTTAATCACAACGCAAACAAAAATATTACAGGTTATTTAGATTGTTTATTTACAAGAATAATTGTTGCTACTTATGTATGTGGCCTATTCTACAAATATTTTCATAGTAACTACTTTGACGGGCTTTATTTCCCCTTGTGTCCCGACTACATGAATTCAAATGTACCACTAGATCTGCATCTACATCCCACGCATTTATTGTTCAAATAGCTAAATGCAACCGACACTTCTACTCTAACGGATTATTTTTTTCGCACTTCCAGCCTGCGGAACTCCCACCCGTTTACTTGCTTCCCTGATAAATAAAATCTTCAAAAATTTAAAAGCAACGTCAATCGCCATCTTTTATTTTTTTGGATCCCGTTCATCTTTTGTCTTTTCATCAATCCTCCATATACTCAGTCTTTTCTTTCACTTTCCCTCCCAGTAACCCCCTGCATATTAATAACATTCCCGCCTTGCTTAGTGTAAAATGATTAAACAAATATATATGATCTACCTTATTGAAAATTATCTACATACGCCACTTTTTTTTTCCATCATATGATATTATTTGTTTAGTATATTATTCCGTATATTAAATAAAGACTACTTCTTTTTCTTTTTATTTATATATATATATATATATATATATATATATATATATATATATATATATATATATATATATATATATATATATATATATATATAAATCTTATCTTATTATAAAACGCAGATGTGTGTGTGCGTGTGTGTGTGGAGTGTCTGTACGTTTATATATTGGATTGGATTTCCTACATTTTTCAACTGATTTCAACAAAACTTCACAGGACTATGTAAAATTACCTTGCAGTGGTTCTGATAGCGCCAAAAATTGGAAAAACAATTGTTTTTGCATGAAATCAATTTGTAAACACGATTAAGAGGCATTAATGAAAGAGGGACAATTCATATCGAGTTATACTTATTAATATCAAGTTATCAAGTTACACTTATTATAAAACCCAGGTTGGTTGTGTGTGTGTGTGTGTTCATTTATATATGGGATCAAATTTCCTACATTTTTCAACCGATTTCAACAAAACTTCATTTCTTTTTGGCAGGTGGTGTTTCTTATTGTCTTGCACTTTTTTTTTTCTTTATTTTTACATTCAGAATGCTTAAAAATTCCATTTACAAGTCAATTGTTTATAATAAAATTCTATTCAATCAGTAGACTCATTACGATTGAAAACAATGTTTTTGTTTGAGTTTGGGTTTGACCATTTCGTTAAAAAAAAAAAAAATAAAATAAAACTAATTAAGACATGCGTGTCCGTCAACCTTAAACAATAATCTTTGTCAATTTTATTTTTCAGTCTTTATGATGGTCGATACTTGATTTATCTCTTACTGTTACATCCCCGGGCAACGCCGGGCTCTACTGCTAGTATATATATATATGTATTCTTTATAATTGGAATTAAGACACATTTAAGTTAGATGACATCGGCTATGGTTTGCCTTGGAATGGGATGAAATCCGCCACAATCTGAATGCTTCTACCAGTTTTAATTCAAGAATCTGGAGAGAAGCTTCCAGTTTCACCAAAATATGCCGCCGTTTTCCATCGTCGTTTAGCTTTCCAAGAGTTGGATGAAACTGAATCAAAATCAGAGTAGAAGAAAATGCTGATGGCGTGAATTTGTTTATGGTGAACCTCAACTTACCAGGAAGTAACTCTCACACTTGGTTTCATGACCTTCCTCTGCGGCACATAGGAAATAAGACATGCTGAACCTACCTAACAAGCTTTTGCAAATGGTTGCCAGAACAGGAATTAGGAGAGATAGCAAAAAGCAAACGTTACTAAGAGCAATAAAAAGTACAGGAAAGTGTGGAGAGCCATGATCATCCACCTCCGGAAGGGACACAGCACATAGAAAAAGAAGTATACGGCACTGATTCTGTTATAATTTTGAGTGACGCCTTCTGTAGTATGTCCGTCAAGCGTAGCCCTTTTAATCCGCTGGTTCACCTGTTGAGATCTGTTGTAATCATTTTCCGCCTCTTCCAACATTTGGGTCTTTGGGGTTGGTCGCGCTTAGACTGGGCCTTCGTTTTCGACCTTGCCGCCAAGAGTGATTCTACCAGGAGTTTAGAACTTTCGACGGCATCGTGTAAAACGTACAGTTGAAAAGTTAGCATAAATAAAAGTGAGACATGGAGTAGGTTATAAGAAATGTTGAAATTTTAAATTCTATTAAATCAGTCGTCTGCTGGTTTTTCTCAACAATATTAAAAAGCGAAATGATTGCTTGTTATCTCTTTTATTAAAACTGTTTCTTTATTGGGCGTCAGTAATTGTATCATGGCTATTTGGTCACGCTTCCATGACTTTTCAAAATACAATAAAAGAATATCAAAAAAGTCGGATGTTTCTTTTCAAATATCCGTCTAGAATATTTCGTAAACCGAATCTTTTCAAGTATTTAACATTTTCAGCTTCTTCTATATAACAAGTTATCTTAGAAGATAATTTATTTTTTCTGTATTTTTTTCTTAAAATTTGTATTTTATTTTCGATTAAAAATTATTTTATCTGAATTCAAAACAGCGCGAAAATGTTTTTTAAAAAATAATACCGTACATAATTGTATATAAATCTACTTTATGTATAGCGCAAATCCTAAATGTTTTTGTGAAAAAATTGATTTTTCCTACATACTCGTGTATAAGTCTAATTCAGTTATGATTTGACTCCAGACTTTTTTGTGAAAAACATGATTTTTTCATATAGCTCTTGTATAATGCCTTAGTCAAATATGGCAGTACCGGGCTTCATCCTGGTCATATTTTATATCAAATAAAAAGTCTTCATTCGTTTTTGTACAATGTTATTCCAAAATGGTGAGAAAAGCCACCTACAAATATTTGACACGAAGATTTAGATACCGTACTTTTATTTCCGTTCATGCCTAACTACGGTAGCTCCTTTACTCTGCGTCTTTCTCCGACGTAACCTTCCCAGGTAGGTTACGGTCCCCAAAAATGCATAAATTTTAACCTCTCCAGAAAAAAAATATTACGTGTGTATAGTGCAACCAGCATGATTTTTAACCCCTTCAAAAAATGGCCAGATTATAGTGGGACCTCCTAATATTTGTGTAAAGCAGTGATCATAAAACCCCGCCCTATACTCAAGTATATACCGTATTAGAAAGTTTTTGAAGCTGTAATATTTGCGCTAAAAAGTAGCATCAGTTAAAAATAATTTTTAAATTGCTTGTTGAAAATATTAATTTGAGTCTTAAATAATTTCCGTTTTGTGGAACCAATTGTAATGATGAATGTATCATTCTAACTATTCTTTGAATATATCATTACGACCGATAAAAAGTGGGTTGCATACGACAATGTTCAATGCAAAAGATTGACAACCGACTCCATGGAAGAAAGTTAATGTTGAGCGTGTGGTGAGATCCTTGGTACATTATTCATTTAGTGTTCTTGAAATTCATGAAATACTCAATGCACATTTATACATCCAGTAGTTGCAACGTGTCCATAAACGTTTAATGGAAAAGCACCCTGCTCTCATCGATAGAAAAAATGCCGTATTCTTCTATGTGCCGTGTCACTTCAAAACGTGGACGATAATGCCAGGTATTGAACTCTCAATTCTTTATGTCAAAGGTACTGGGTTACTTCAATCAACACTTTTATCCACTGGGCCATGTGTCCATGAATTTTCGGTGACTTGTAAATCTAATGTCTCAGTAACTCATATTACATTTTTTGTTATTTTGAAGCTCTCTGTATTACTGGTCCTGATATTGTATTCATGTTATACTTCGGTTTAAAGATCCCAACGTATATCACCTGAAGAAGACCGGAGCGTACAATGGTCGAAACGTCGTGACTATGACAATAAAAGGAGGACAGCAATCCGAATGAAGATTAATTTACAAGTCACCGAAAATTTGGACACATGACCCACTGGAAACTATTCAGAAAAAGAAACAATCTCCTCCAGTGGCCTAAATAAAGGTTAGTTTGAAATTTCGACGGCTGAAACGTTGCAAATATGATAATAAAGATGAGGTCTGTAGTAGAATTGTTTCAGAGAATACGATGTTGCTTGTAAGCTAATAAATTCCGAATATCAACAGAATTCTTCTGAATATATGTGTTCAGATCCATTAATCGATCCATTTAATGAGATTGATCATTTTTATAAAAATGAACTTCATTTGTTGAAAAATAAAGTTGTCATGACTGAACCCAATAAGTTTCATAATAGGTAGATAATTGGTAGACATGAAGATAATTAAATTAATTGCGACAACATTACTCTGTTCTGTATCTCTCTTGATGATGTGAACATAATTTTTTCTGCCCGTTAATGAAAAATATACGGTCTTGAAAACCGTACTTTGACAAAAATATAAACTAACCTTTAACTAATGCCACTATAAATAGTTACCAAATCGAATAGGTGCCTTAGACATCCCCAATGTAGACTGCATCATAAACAACCCCGAGAGACACGGGAAAAAAAACTAAAGACGGCTTCATATCTACATTGTTACACGTCATAAAACTGTAGAGGGAAAAAGGAAAGAACAAAATAGTCTGACAACGTCACTGAGTGAATTGGATGATCATTAGCAGGGACTCAGACATTGACACGCAACTGAGACATATGGAGGGAACTGTTCGAGAGCTCAGCTGCGCAATGACCCTTCGACTACAAACTATGATTATGATGATGATGATGATGATGATGATGACGATGATATATGATTATCATCATTATCGTCATCAGGTTTTTCACAAAAAATTATAAGGGTTTCTCTATACATGAACTATACACGAGTATATCATGATGATGATCAACAATGCATAGATCGGCATTTTGCCGAAGTTTCATGACTTAATCCTACCCCACGTATTACATCGTATGAGATTACGACCATATCACGTTGAAACATCCGGCACCCGTGCGATCACAGAAGTTAAGCAACGTTGAGCCTGGTTAGTTCGTTGATGGATGACTTTTTGGTAATTCCAGGTTCTGTAAGGTGTGTGGGTGATGTAATGGATAATGGCACGGAATCCTTAATCGAAGGTCCAATAGCTGTTAGGTTCGTTATATTCACTTACGTGTAAATAACATTTCAAAATGTATGAATCCATCTCTTCTCCCCCAGCTATAGGTTAATTAGTAAGACTTGTATGACTAAGACAATTATTAACTTTTAAATTCTCACACTCTAAAAATACGTTCTGGTTTTAAATAACCTGAAAAAGGTTGATAATCCGTAGAAATCGAATCTATCATATGTCGTATGGATGATTCAATTAAAATATAATTTGAAACAGTGAGAAAGAATTAATGATGGGGTTGATATTCACCTAATTATGGCCCCGGATAAATTATCTTCCATCAACGAAAATATGGCCTTGTGTAAAATAAATTGCTCGAAATTAAATTCAAACATTGAGCGAACAAAGGGAGAAGGGATGGCAAAAGTGGCAATGACAGTTAAACTAATTATTTCCAACAACTGATGCATAATCTTCCTCTTTGTATTAACTGAAATGTATATTAGACATTGGACAAGAAATAACCGTTAATCGCCAAATAAAGCTAGTCATAGAAACCCTATAATAATACTATGTATATAATACTATTATACAATGTATTTTTGTCCTCCAAAGATCTGAATGCAACAGTATTGAAATAATAATAATCCGCAGCCAGGATTACCAAACAACTTTTCTACTGGAAACTGAGGAAGAGGTTTAAAGATAACTTGAAGGATAATATGAATGCATTGCAAATGGATGAACTGATTTTAAATCATACAGAATGGAGGGATGTAATGTCTTTTGAGGATGAATGTCTCAGGCTTGCTCAGCTCAAGCGTGATTTACGAAGAGGCACTCACTCTGATTTGCCAGCTAATATGCAGTCTCGGAAATATGCTGTTTGCAGCAAAGGGTTGCCGATCATCATCTGAACCGAGAAGGCACATAGTGGTACACAGGAGAGTTGTAGGTCATACAGATCCAATCAAGCCAATCAAAGACACAAAGTTTATCTATCATATAAACCCGATAGCTATGAAATCGAATGCTTGTCTCAAGAGTCATCTTAGGGTCCATGAACGGTGAAATGGGACGGAAAATATTACAAGCCATGCGAAGGATGAGGAAGCAGCTCATCTGAATAATCACCATGTTCATATGTATATATATATATATATATATATATATATATATATATATAAATATATTTTGGTTGTAATGTGGATTTATTTAGAAAAAAATATTATGCTTTGTTTTCATAATTTTACTACACGTGTTTCTGGTCTCGTGACCGTCTTCAGGTAAAAGCGGAGATTTCCACATATTATTAAATATAATTAATGTTTTCCTTATGTTTTTCAATGTTAAATATTCTCGATGCCAGACATTTTCTGTTTTTGTGTTAGTAATCCGAATTTTTTTCTTGAATTGGCAATGAAGAGTTCTGCGCGAAGGGTCATAAAACAATTAAGGTTGGACCAAGCGAAATGATGAATTACTTATCGGCATTTTATCTTTTAATGTTTTACTGACCCCTATGTCTTCTTGGATCTGTTTCTATTTTCGAGTGTTTCTGTCAGCATGCGTGTATATATGCGTGCGTATATTCCCCTCCATACATACTGTCTTACTACGAGGAATTAGTAAACTCATTTGTACATATACACGCATACACACACATACGCACATACACACCATCCCACCACAAGGAATCAGTACACACACACACACACACACACACACACACACACACACACACACACACACACACACTTCCCAAGCTACATGGAACCAGTATACACATACACACATACGTACATACACACACACGTACTTCCTAAGTTGTGTGGGGTTTGAGTGCGTGCTCGTGAGTAGTTCCCCTGTTTTTTCAACATGCGTATATATATATATATGTAAATGTATGCATACATATATATCTCCTCGTGTCTCCCGTATATGAGCGTGCGTTCATGTATGTGGGTGATTTGATCATTGTATTTGGTCACCTTGTGTGCATGTTGTGTGTTTTTGTGTGTGGGGTTATGATCTATTTAGTTCGGGTTTAAATTTGTTTATAAAGTTTTTTTCTTGTATTTGTAGGTACGAGTAATCGTCTGTTTAATATATCGGCATGATATTAAATTTACCCTTGTTACATTTGAACTGGTTTTCTGTTGTCTGTTATTATTCAGTTTATTATTCTTGCTAAGTCTAGATTTTTTGTAATTTCTGTGAATATGCCACCCTAACATTTGCTTACCTAGAAGAAAACCTCTATGAAAAGATAGAACAAATATATGGGGCAAATATAAAAACCCAATTCACTAAATCTTGGAAAAGATACTTAGATGATTGTTTCATCTTTTGGAAATCATCATGGGGTGATATTAACCAATTCCATACACTACTTCAAAACTTACACCCAAAAATCAAATTCACGCAAGAATATAATTTTAAAGAATTACCATTTTTAGATATACTCATGGGAAATAAAAACAACCACATAATCACAGATATCTACCACAAACCCAACAATACCTTCATTTCAAGAGCCATCACCCAAAATGCTGCCTAAAATTCATCCCCTATTCCCTAGCACGAAGAATTTGTACAATAGTGATTGATAAACATCTCCGAGAAATCCGCTTAGAAGAACTACATAAAACTCTCAAAAAACGAGGCTACCCCATAACACTAATAAACAAAGGTATTGAACTCGCGAAAGAAATTCCTCTAGACCAACTTAGAAATAAAAAGAAACTTAACGTCGAACAAACTCTAGCATATGTCTCAACGTACAACAAAAACAATCCAGAAATATTCACAGAAATTACAAAAAATCTAGATTTAATTAGCAAGAATAATAAACTGAATAATATACTAAAAACAACCAAAATAATTAAAAGCAAACGCCAATCTAGAAACCACATATTAACCTCATCTAAATTTAACCAACACAAAATACAGGGAGTCACAAAATGCAACAAAAAAAGATGTGGGGTTTGTGACATCATTATAGAAGGAAACTCCTACCCTTTTGAAAACCCCCCAAAAAACATTCACAATAAATAAAAACTTAAACTGCAACTCCAAAAAATTAATTTATGTACTTAAATGCAGAAAATGTAAGAAGTCATATATAGGCATCAGCCAACAACTGGACAACGGGGTCTCCCTACACAAAAGCAATATAAAATTGACAGACAACAGAAAACTTTTTGTATCACAACACATTTTCAAATGTAACCAGGGTAAATTTAATATCATGCCGATATATCAAACAGACGATTACTCGTACCTACAAATACAAGAAACTTTATAAACAACTTTATAAACAAATTTAAACCCGAACTAAATGGATCATAACCCCTCACACACAAAAACACACAACATGCACACAAGGTGACCAAATACAATGATCAAATCACCCAAATACATGAACGCACGCGGAGATATATATGTATGCATACATTTACATATATATATATACGCATGTTGAAAAAACAGGGGAACTACTCACGAGCACGCACCCAAACCCCACACAACTTAGGAAGTACGTGTGTATGTACGTATGTGTGTATGTGTATGTGTATACTGGTTCCATGTAGCTTGGGAAGTATGCGTGTGTGTGTATGTACTGATTCCTTGTGGTGGGATGGTGTATGTGCGTATGTGTGTGTATGCGTGTATATGTACAAATGAGTTTACTAATTCCTCGTAGTAAGACAGTATATGTATGGAGGAGGAATATACGCACGCATATATACACGCATGCTGACAGAAACACACAAAAATGGAAACAGATCTAACAACACATAGGGGTCAGTAAAACATTAAAAGATAAAATGCCGATAAGTAATTCATCATTTCGCTTGGACCAACCTTAATTGTTTTATGACCCTTCGCGCAGAACTCTTCATTGCCAATTCAAGAAGAAAATTCGGATTACTAACACAAAAACAGAAAATGTCTGGCACCGAGAATATTTAACATTGAAAAACATAAGGAAAACATTAATTATATTTAATAATATGTGGAAATCTCCGCTTTTACCTGAAGACGATCATGAGACCAGAAACACGTGTAGTAAAATTATGGAAAATAAAGCATGATATTTTTTTCTAAATAAATCCACATTACAACCAAAAACGTTTGCGGCACCTTTCTTCTCTTCTTTTTAATATACATACTTTTCTCTCGTTGGAACCACTACAACCTCTTTCTTTTATATATATATATAATTCATATACTCACAAAAACATACCAGTATGCATGTATTAAAATACATGCAAAAACCTACCAAACCCAATCCGCAACAGACTAATAGAAAATACAAGCATAGTAACTTCATTCACATGAAAAATAAAAAAAAAGAAAGATTAAAAATAATGGAGGCCCTAATAATACAAAAGAAAAATCCAATACTCAATAACATTACTACGAAAAAGGCCACAATGTCCTGACTATATTTTGAAAATAAAACATCCATATAACTCTAGATACACAAAACCCATGCGCCTAATTAAAAAGCTAAAATAAAATCATCCTTGATATTGACTAAAAGTATAGCTGAAAGCGCTCGGACATACAGAACTTTTGGATACAATTTGTGTCTAGACAAGAAAACACTTGTACGTACACAAGAAAAATTAATTAAAAAGCTTAATCGCTGTATAAAAGAAGGATTGCTTCTTAAATACACAATGTATTTATGTATGTATGTTTGTCTTAGGTAAACTACATTCGGCAGCAAGGCCTTTGATCAGGAGATTGGAGGTTTTGAGGAGCGTGGAACAACCTCTTAATTGCTGTTTTTCTCAGGTCCATCCTGACTCATGGTGGTAGCACTTATTACGGTCCCAGCTATGAGCAGATAGTGGACCTGGCAGATGAAGGCCACTCATCGACACTCCCAACGTCACCAGAACCAGAGGGGGGGAGGGATATATATATATATATATATATTTATATATATATATATAGGATAT